TTTTTTTTTTTTTTTTTTTTTTTTGCGTGAATCCTTGTCAATCTATCAATGTTCGGTTAGAAAGTCATTAGAACTTATGCTTAAAGCAAACAATAGTATATTACTATGAACGTCCCTCCGTGCTCCGTGCATCATTTGATTTTGTTAAAGTGTTTTGGATTATTATGTTCAGCTTTTGTGTTCCTTTCGTTTGTAAGATTTGTCTTTTATATTTGTTTAGAAATGAAAGAGAATTGGAGCCCATATCCTATTATCTCCAAAATTTTACAATATCCCAAAATGGGTCCACATAGGAAGGAAGAAACCCAAAGATATTTATATAATTATAATAATGAAAGCAAACCAAATCATTCTAAATGCCTATAGAGAGAGTGGGTAAGAAATAAAATCCCCAAAAATAAAAAAGAAAAAGAAAAAATCTATGCCATTTTGATGTGGTCATGGACAGTGTACATTTCTACCGGGGCCTCCATAGTAAAAATAAGTGCCCCAAAGCTTGTTGTTTCCTTGTCTTATGTCATAGCAATTCGGATGATCGGCCAAGAGATGGAGGTTCGAGATAGGAAGCAAGCTGTTGTCCCAATCAATTATTTGCAGATTTCTGAAATAAGAAGCTTTTCCATAGCCTTCTTCTGCAAAATGCCCACTTCCCATCTGTGTTGATGTGTGTAACCCTGTTGATCTTGTGTTCACTATTTCTCCTCCAAATTGGATCATGCTGGCATGGCTTCCCAAGTGACTGAACAAAAATGCTGGCCAGTACCCTACTAACAGTCCCTGCCCAATTTCCAGCCACCAGTTTCCGTGCCTCGGATCCTGCATCGACAATCAATCTGTAAGAACAAGACAAGGGAACGTGATAATAGTGGCTAGTTGACGTTCATGAGATTAGTCGAGGTGCGTATACGCTAACTCTCGTCTAGGCATATAAGACTGAGAGAAACTTATGGTGAGTGAAAGTTAAGTCACTGGTCGTCAAACCATCAGAAGGGGTATAGAAATATTTGCTAAAGAAGAAGAAAGGAAACCACGTGGGAGTCCTATCAATGGCAGAGAAATTCTTGCTTTTGAAATGATTAAGGTTACAAAAATGTTTTTGTTTATGGGGGTGGGGAGGGAGTGTAAGAGTGGAAACTTTAAGGTTTTATTTGAGCTGTCAGCTTCGACCAAACTCGATTATTAAAATGAGTGGTCCTACCTTGGCTAATTAAGAAGAATACTGTATCAATCTAAGCCCACCGCTAATAGATATTATCATTTTTGGGTTTTTTTTTTCAAACTCTCCTTCAAGATTTTTAAAACACATTTGCTATGGAGAGATTTTCACACTCTTATAAAGAATGTTTCGTATTTTCCCCAACCGATATGGGATCTCACAATCCACCCCCTTTCAGAGCCCAGCGTCCTTGCTGGCACACTGTCTCATGTCCACCTCCTTCGGGGCTCAGCCTCCTCACTAGCACATTGCCCGATATCTGGCTTTGATACCATTTATAACCTTGAGGGAAACTCCAAAAGAAAAAACTCAAAGAGGACAATATCTACTCACGGTAGGCTTAGGCTGTTACAATGATCATGGACTTATAAGTAAATAACACTATCTTCATTCGTACGCAAAATCATGAGAGATTATACTAAAAAATGGACAATAACATACTAGTACGGAAGGTCGTGGTTTCCCATAGAGGTTCCGATTTCAAAACCTCACGTTGTTTCACATTGTTTACTGTCAAAATCACCACCAGTTAAATCAACCCATAAAGTTAATTCTGCATTCAATTCCTTTTTCTCTTTTTTAGGGGTGGGGGGGGGGGGGGGTTT